TTTCTGGGCAGACATCTTGAGTCATCCAGCCTGTGTTCCCCTGTAGACAGTTCAGGGATTTTGCCTATTTGCTTTTCTTTCCTTTTGTTTTTCTGCTGCAAGTTGGCGATGTGATATGGGTGTGGGTTTGTGGATTTATTCCATTTGGGGTTGGTTCAACTTTTTGAGCCTGTGAGTTTACAACTTTAAATAAATTTGGAAGCTTTTAAGGCATTATTAAATAATTTTGAGGGGCCCCCACTTTTGGCATTTGAGTTTTGGGATCCCAGAGACATAACTATGAAGCTCTTTATAGTTGTTCTGCAGCACTTCAGATTTGAACACTTTTTCCTCTCTCATCCAGGCTCCAGATTCTACAATGAGTCCTTGCATTTACTGACTCTTCTCCCTTTCATCTGGTCTCGGCTTCCGCATCCATCCGCTGAACTTCTTGATTAGTGAAACACTAATTTCTTTAAAATTTTTTTCACTTTGGGGGCTGGAGAGATGGCTCAGTGGTTAAGAGCATTGTCTGCTTTTCCAAAGGTCCTAAGTTCAATTCCCAGCAACCACATGGTGGCTCACAACCATCTGTAATGAGATCTGGTGCCCTCTTCTGCCTGCAGGCACACACACACAGACAGAATATTGTATACATAATCAATAAATATTTAAAAAGTTTTTTCACTTTGTTTTTCTTTGTATCTTCTATATCTTGCGGAGGTTTTTCTAGTTTAGTATTCATTTTAAGAGTGTTCATTATATATAAGCATATACATATGCATATTTAAGTATTTTAGAGTAACTGCTTTAAGGCCTTTGAAAATGACTCATGTCCAGTATGGTGGCACTTACCTGGGAGACAGAGGCAGGCAGATCTCTGTGAGTTTGAGGCCAACCTGGTCTACAAAGTGACTTCCAGGACATCTAGGGCTGTTATACAGAGAAACCCAGTCTCGAAATACTGAAGAAGAAAAAAAGGAAGGTGACTCATGTATTCATGCTTTTTCTGTCATTATTCTGTCATTCTCGTGCTTCTTCCAAGTGATTCAAGATTTTCTAGTTTTGTTTTGTTTTGTTTTGTTTTTTGTCTACTGAGTAAGAAGGGATTGTACCCTGGGTATTTTTTCATAATGTTCTGGGGGCTTATTTAAATCATAGAGATAAATAATGATCTCCTCTCTCTCCCTCCATCTCTTATCTTCTTTCTCCTTTCTCTCTCTCTTTGTGACCCCTTCAACTTTAAACTGGTCAGGTACAGGATGCAAGGTTCTGTCTGCCTTTTGTGCACTATCTTTCTAGTGTCAGCTTAGAGTTCAAGCATGTGTAATGAATGCTCTTTGATGCTTTCTATGGAGCTCATCACTTGGATAATCAGCTGAGGCCTGAGCTGTACGCACCTGTGATTTAAGTTCTCAGTGTCTGTCTATGAGAATGTCAAAGCAGGCATCACTTGGGATGAACCTCGGAATTCATGACACAAGACTTCCCTGAGACTGACATCTCCAGTTTCTCTCGTTACTGGTTCTCTGGCTAGAAACCTGGGGTTCTAGTCATCCCACTCAACTGCACTTAGCTGTGATTGCCTAAATGGGAAGATAGGAGGGAGGAGTAGAAGAAGACAGGGAGGAAGTAGGGTGAGAATCTTTCTAAGAATTATGCCTCCTTTTCAGTGACTCAGGCCATAACTGCATGGATTCTCTCAGCGCTCCGTCTGCACAGTATGTACTTGTGGGCTCCAGCTGACACAGGTCAGGGGACACAGGAGGGAAACCCGAGTGCCACAGCAGCTCAGCTTCAGTGCTCCTTCCTGATGCACGCATTGCAGATGTCTGTACATGCATGCTGGCCACATTCTGCAACGCTGTTCAGTGGGAAGACAGGGTGACTGTGATTGCTCCATTCACCTAGGTAGAAACTAGATTTTTTGTTGTTGTTGCTGTATAAAAGTCTAACATTAAAACAGTTATGTTACCATTTAGTTAGAATTTGGCTGGAATATACTTTGCAGTCTAATGATGTAACTTCCTTCCCCTAGGCCCTGCCTTCTAGTGTGTCTGTTATTTCATGCTAGCACTATAGGCTGGTGGCTAGGCTTTAACATATAAGATTCTGGGGGGCAGATTCTCATAAGAACTGTCTGTAACATCAAGGGGCTCAATGGGAGGCTGTTACGTTTGCAATGCAGGTACCTGACATACATCTTACTTAACTGTTGTAACTAATCTTGTAATAGTAAAATATTATTATATTTACTAGACCAGAGTCAGGATGAAGCCAAGAACTTAGTTCCCCTCAATTCTGAGGCTGGAGCCTTCCTCAGATTAATGTATGGCTGCCCCTCTGGGAAGGAGGTGCCACTGGCTGTTCTCTGGGAGATACTCTGTAGTTTATCCAGGGGGTGGTGTGTATTAAATCCACTAGAGAATAAGGAGAGGGCCTATTTTCATAGTAATTGACTGGGATCTCCAAGCACAGTGTGGTATATATAGCTACCCTAAAGCAGACAGTTAAAAAAAACGATTGTAAAGTGATCTGTGACTCATTCAAACCAACAAATTTAGGGTTGTATATATTTGCCTCAATTCCAATTACATACACAGTGAACAACTAACTCTGAACTAAGACTACAGAAATGAAACAACGGAGTTTCACATCACTTCAAAGCTTATATGTAAGTTTAGGATTAAGCACCAATGTTGGGCAAGGTAACTTTGGAGTGAATTTTACATATGGAAAAACTTATTGGGATGATTATGACTCTGGTTCCTGGTTCTGGGAATCTAGAAGCAAGATTCTAAGCTACTAGTTGGTCTCCCCTCTTCCAGTTTCTCCTGGCCTTGATCTCCCCAAACATCCTTCAATCAAGTTGCTTCTGTGTAGTTTCTTGTGGCTCATTAACTTTTTTTCTTTTCTTTCTTCCTTTTTCTTTTCCTTTCCTTTTTTTCTTTCTTTTTTCTTTTCTTTTCTTTTCTTTTTTTTTTTTGAGACAGGGTTTCTCTGTGTAGACCAGGCTGTCCTACAACTCACTCTGTAGATGAGGGTGGTCTTGAAATCACAGGTATATCCCTGCCTCTGCCTTCTGAGTGCTAAGATTAAGGGTGTGTGCCACCACTGCCTGGCAAAGCAAACTACATTTTGGTTTGTTGTTTGCTTTGCTTTTTGAGAAAGAGTCTTTCTGTGTAACTTTAGCTGTCCTGGAATTTTCTCTGTAGACCACACTGGCCTCAGACTCACAGAGATCCACCTGTGTCTGCCCCCCCAGTACTGAGATTAAAGGTGTGTGCCACCACCGCCTGACTTTACTATGTTTTCTTAATTCTTTACCCATGGCCTTCATAATGTGGTTCCTAGTTGATATGATTTTGATTAGAAGTATCTTCCCCAAGTTCACAGTTTGAAGGCTTGTGGAGCTATTTTAAACACTATGGAGCCTTCAGGGGGTGTGGTTTGCCGGGTGAAGTAAATTACAAGCCGTGGGACTTTGTCATATTCACCTCTGGTTCTTGCCATGTGAACTACCCACTGCCTCCCACTCCACTGCCATAGACCACTCTGATGAGCCTTCTACTGTGGACTGAAATCACAAGTCACAGAAACTTTTTCCTCCTTCCAGTTGCTTCCATCAGGTATTTTGTACTGTCATGAGAAAAGCAAGGGACCCAAGAGCCTGCACCACTGTCTTAGCTCCTTCCACATCGGGGCTTTCTTATTCCCACTCCTCTGATCCCCTTTTCCTGGCACCCTCATTCTCATCCACTCGTCCTCCTGATCTTTCCTGCTCCCCCTCCTGAAGCACAGTACATGTACTCTTTTGTCACCAACATAAATGCTGTAGGTCCCTTTAAATTTACTTTTTGTTCACCCAATAGACATTTGTCCATGCTGTGAAGAGTGGGCTTCTAAGGTTGCTTCTAAGGTGCCTTTTCCCACTCAGTCATACAAAAGACATTATCATTTTTATTACACGTCTAGCCCAATTGAGGTTCCTTGTTAGGGGGAGCTCTCATTCTGGTTATAACAAAGAAAGGGATATTTATCTAGAGGAAAACCTTAATTATAATTGTGGAGTCTCTTAACTGAGGCAATCATAAATTATGTTGCACAATTATTCTTAAATAAAACAATTTTAATATTTGAGTATATGAATTGCCTTGCTTCATGCTGTGAAAACCGCCCAAGATAACAGCCTTCATTTCATGGTTTTCTTTTTTTTTAATTGTCTCCATTAGAGGCCTGGTTTTCTTCTACCTCAGAGCTCATCTTTTCTTTGTCATTTTTTTTTTTTTTGCCTCTTATCACCTCCCTGTGCTCCAGTCAGTCATGCAGGCAGGAGGACTGAGACTCAGAGCAGTCCAGTCAGCCTCATGCCCAGGCTTCCCATACTCTGGGGAAGTGCAGGTGATAGAGGGTGATGTGAGAGAAAACATACTCTGTACACAAAGACATGAGGAAGCAGGAAGATGCAGGGATGAGGAGGGAAGGGGGACCCACAGGAAATGTCTGGGATTCTTAACTGTTGGAATTTCTTTCACCAATCCCTGCTGGTTAGTACTGACCACACATATTCAAGAGAGGAGCGGGGGAATGCATTCATGGAAACGTTACTTGGTAGTATGACTTTAGGAATTTGGAGCATTAGGGAAAATGAAGAGAACTGGCAAAATCTGTGGCACAGTCTACCTTGCTGTGGCTTTTTCTTTAACAACACAAGCACAGTTGGCTGCAAACCCCACATTTCACCAACTGAAAATGGACAAAGACTTCTGCTCCACCAGCCTATGTCCCACAGGACAGATCACCGCTGCTTTTGCTTTCCAAGACCATCAGAAAAATAGTTTTGCCCTTAAAGTCAATGACTTGATCTTAATTGGCTTGTACTCCAGATAACAAGAAATACGTTTTGGCCAATTATGCATATACATTTGGACTGGGACACCAGAAGAAGGGAAACTTGTTTTCACAGGCGCACACTGCTGAAGTAATGAGAGAGGCTGTGCTCTGAGCAATCTCCTACTCACCCAGAACGTAGATCTCACAGTTGAGGACGGCAGCACTGAACCGGTACTTAGAGTACTGCATGGGTGCCCGCTCCCTCCATTCATCTTGGCTGGGGTCATACTGCAACAGTTTGTTACTTAATCGATCCGGCTCTTCATCAGGAAGATCCATCTGTATGAAATATGACAGCAAATGTAACAACAGACCACTTAGAGGCCTTTGTGAGCATGTAGACACAATTAATCAAAGCAGACAGCGGAGGAGATGAATGGAGGTTAATTGTCTCAGCCAGACTCAGACTTCCCAAGTCCTGAGACTTGGGGTTGTCAGTACTCTGTCAATATCAGAGGGATTTATATGTGCAATGGGCTGACGTGTTGGTTTACAGCAATCGGTGATTTTCACACTTAGACACCAAAAAATGAAGCAACTACAAAATTTAAAAAAAAAGCAAAGTTGCTTTCTTGAACAGTATGTAAAGGAAACCCTAACCTTAACAAACTTCATAGTTGTGAATTTTAACGATACTCATGAAGAACTAATTTTAATAATTCATAAGGCATTTTCTTTATATTTTTCTAATCTATAAAAAATTCAAAACATTTTTACTGTGTTAGTAATTAGAGGATTTTAGACCATAATTATGAGTTATATGTAAATAACCTGATTTCAGTTTTCAAGATAATAGGATTAGCATAAATTACTTGGAGTTATGGTTACATATTCACTTATGTTATATATTTGTATATTTATTTAGTGACTAGATAGTAAAAATTGAAAAATTTTATTCTTACATAGATACAAGCAGCTTCTACCTGTAAACTTCAGGTAAAATAATGTTATTTTTATAATATCTGGAACTTTATAACAACTCTGAGTTAAGAATTTATGTATCTCTCTTTTGAGTCCAAGTTTTTAACAGAGAAATAATTGCCACCCTTAGGAATGTTACATGCACTTCCCTTTAGTCTAGGCCTTTAAAATGATGGGAATGCTGACACCATGGGCACTCAAAGCCCAGTTTCATGTGCTGTACCTGAAGCTCAGTGAGATTGTCTCATGACACAATACTCATTTAGAGACTACAAATTAGCAAACATTGCCTTTATTGCTTACTTTCCTTCAATTTTAGGTATTTAATCTTCACAGTAGTAAAGCAAAGCTTCCAAATTGTTTTGAGGGATTGTTCATGCAAATTCACTGTGAAGGTGAATAGTTTTAGAAAACATAACTATAGATAATGTCAGGTTCTAACTACCGCTGTGATGAAATCTGTACTGTTTAATCTATAGCACAAGTCGAAACATACAAAGTATAATAAAATTTTTCAAGCTTATGGAGGGAATGCAAAAGCATGTGTTTCATCATGAGGCAAATCTGGTAAAATAAGAAAAAATACAGGAAAAATAAATTTATGTCACAGGGACAGCCAAGGAGTGAGAGTAATCTGCACTGGAAAACAAGAAGGCAAGAGCGGAGGACAGCTGAAAAGACACCACCGTAAATGTCAAAGGCCCAGGAGGACCCTGAAGGCCACAGGGCCACTGTGGTCACACTGCTGACATCTCTACTGCCTTGCCATCACTTCTCTGGGCTTGAACATCAACAGCACTCTGATAATATTGCTGATGCCCAGAAAGGACACTTGGTATTTACAGTCACACATACTTTCTTGGAAATGATGGTGCCACGACAGAATCAATATTCTGACTTTCCATTTACGGTAAGACCCTGTGTGTATGTGTCTCTGTGTATGCCCACACACGTTTGTACTTACCCATGGTGAATGGGGGTTTTCACGTACATGTGCATATGCAGATGTTAAGCCCAGGTGTTCCCCAGGAAGGTTTATCTTATGTTTTAGAGACAAGGTAGCTCATCAAATCTGGAGTTTGACAATTTGACTAGACTGGCTAGCCAGCATGCCCCAGGGATTCTCCTGTCTCTATATCCTCAGTGCTGGGATTACAGGCATTCACATGGGTGCTAGGAATCAGGTTCTCATGTGTGCACGATGAACATCTTCCCAACCGAAACATTTCCCTAAGCCCTGCAGCAAGAATCCTACGAGTGACTGGCCCCTGGCCCCACGGCCATCAGACAGCAGGACTGGAATGAGGATCCAGCTGTACCACTACTTAGATGCTCACCACAGCTACCCCTTGGCAGAGAGATCTTTTCCAATCAGCCAGTAGGGGAAGAATTATGAAGTCCACAGCGTAGCATGAGTACTAGATACACCCATGTCTATAAATAACACATTTAAAAATCAACTTCTAAAACTGCTTTGACAATTTCAAGACTTAAGTTTATATTATACAGTGTAAAAAGCATTTTGCCAAAATGTAAGCCGTAATCTTTTAGTACTCAACATCTGATACATTTTTCAGAAAAGCCAGTCACACTAGGTAGATATGCAAGGAATTTCTTAACCTGAGGGGTCCAGCCTCCGATGACATACAGTTTATTGTTCACTGTCACCGCAGCGTGACAGGCCAACTGCAGTGGAAGGGGAGACACTCGTTTCCAGTTGTCTTGATCTATGGAGTACTTATCAACACAGTTTGTGATGAGGTACTGGTTTTTAATCTTCATCTGTCCTCCTATGACATAGAGGTCATTATGGATGCTGCCCAGAGCGTAGAGCTCTCGAAATTCAGTCGTGCATAACTTTTCCCAAAACTGGTTTCCTCTATCATGATACCTGCAAGTTAACACACACACACACACACACACACACACACACACACACACAGAGAGAGAGAGAGAGAGAGAGAGAGAGAGAGAGAGAGAGAGAGAACCAGGATTAGAGTTACCATGGCAACAACTCACCCAAGAAACACATTTAAGCTTTTTTTTCAACACAAAACAATATGACCTGGCTCTTCTAATTGGAGGAGAAACAGATCATTAACACAAGACAGTAATATATATTTGCTTTCTTTTTCCCCAATGATCAATGAGTAAGACATAATATGCTGAAATATGTTCTTCATCTCCCTGGAGAATTACAGGAAAAACAGAAAAGTAGAAAGAGTATACCTTACCCCGGACTAGTTTTTAACATTTCCTGATTCTGGGAAAGAAAAGCAGGAATAGGAAAATCTTTCAGAAAATCAGTTTTTAACTTTAACATAAATGAATAAAGAAACAAAGATACAAAATACCCTGAATATTTAGATAAGAAATAGCATTTTAGTGAAACATTAAAGAATTAATGGTTTTAGGCAGAGAATCTAAAAAGTATCTCAGTTTAGAACTTCTAGCTGTAAATTGTACATAGGCAGAATTTTTTTAAAGACAAGGTCTCTGTGAGGCCTGGCTATAGACCGTGCTGGTCTTACTCATAGACCAGGCTGGTGTCAGCCTCTCAAGTACTGGGGTGAGCATCACCTTGCCTGGCCACTATTTAAGTTATAGTTTTGATTTAAAACTGGATCAAGAGCATTGTGCTAAAAACCCATCTACAGATGTCTGTTTGGCATCTTACATCTATTTTCGTTTACTAAATATGGTTATTTGGGTAATTTCCTTCACATATACTATCTGTTTAAGAAGAGTCTTAAGAGATGTTGACCCTCAGATAGATGTCTGTCAGTGCCTTCTGAAACTTCAAACAGTAACTGATTGGTAGGTATGTTATAAAGACTCGAGTGTACTAGTTCATGGCTGTCTTTTGTCTTGCCTCATAATAACTGTAGGTCTTTTTTTTTTTAATAAAATCTAAGGTAGCCCAAGCTAGCCTGGAACTTGCCATCCTCCTGCCTCTGCCTCTCAAATGGTTGGTTATAGATGTGTGCCACCAAGCTTGGCTTGTAAATGTATTTTTCCAATTGTAATTTGAGACATTTGGTATGAGAAAGATAAAAATACACAGAGGGAGAGTGGGATAAAATATCTGAAATTAAATATCTCAGACATATCTAGAAATATCCATTGTACATGGAACAAAAGCACAAAGCCCAGGAACACAGAGAATAAGAAAACAGGTGTTCTGCTTGGAAACAAGATCAAGCCAGGATCTTATGTGTGCTTTGTGCAGAGCTCAGTTTTTAAGGAACATTGTACAGTTAGTCATCTAATCCGGGTTTCTCCCACTTGTTCTGGGCCAACTCTCACATTCCTCAGAGAACATTCTGCTTCAGGCTTGACAGGAAAGTTGAAAGGCATATTCCTTTCATAGAGGCATGCGTGGCTTGTCACATTCGGATACAGAGATTTCTCAAACCTTCCAGCGGCTGTCTTCTATGTAATTCTAAAAAGGAAGTCAGAGTTCCTGGAATCACAAGGAATATTTTCACTAATTTTTAATTTATGAGTTTTCAAAGGTAAGGAAGATATCATCAATATGTTGAAGAAAAGCAAACTGAGTGACTATGTAAAAGAACCAAAAATGGGTTTGGGTTGAGGCATAGTTTAAGAAAGCATAATAGGATGAAATTGGTACCATGAAGATTGAGGATGGTTTTCTAAGTAACTTGCTAATCTGACTTTTGTTTTAACATTTGGAACTGAAAATGGGGAGATAAAGTGCTCAGATAAAACTATAAAACTTGTGGTTAGGAAGTAGCTATGACATAAGAAAAAGGAACAGTCACAAGAGCATTCAGTGCCAACAGGTTGATAGTTTAAAGATGCCACTTACATGCTCACTTACTGGGACCCCGAGGTCATGGCACATGCCTTTAATCCCAACACTCGGGAGGCAGAGGCAGGAGGATCTGAGTTTAAGGCCAGCTTGCTCTGCAGAGTGAGTTCCAGAACAGCCAGAATTACACTGAGAAACCCTGTCTCAAAATAAAAATAAAAAAAATACATGCTCACTTAATTCATATGCCAAAGTGGGAGAATAAAGAAAGAAGGCGGAAAGAACTGGCCTACTAGAGTGTTGTCTATTTCACACTTTAACTCAAGAAGAAATACATCTGTGGATGCACGGACATCTATGAACTGTACAACACAGGCAGTCTAGAAGAACATCTGGACAAAGATTAAAGTGATATGAAGCAATGATACTAAAATTATGAAAGAATTATTATAAAATAATATTGCAGGGATACACCAAAGGATACTTGGTTTCCCCCTTTTAGCACAAAATTGACACCCAATTTGCTTGTAGTGATGCTAGATTAAGAGTCTTGTGAGACAAAGATCTCAGGGAGACAGGATGCTCAGTGCTTTCTAGAGTCCACTGTGGTGAGTAATTATGAGGAAGTCTGTCTCGTCTAAGGGCAAAGCAATGCTTCTGATAACCTGACGACTCTTCTTTCTGACCACTTTACATCAAAGGTAAAGGTGCTTTTACTCTAATTCTGACCAATGTGGAGGAGCTGTTTGGTGTCGGGAGCCTGGCTGAGTCTAAGACATTAGTTAACAAGGAAATGATGGTGCATGCAGTTAGATCGCTGCAAGAAAGAAAAGGGGCTCTTAGAGTGAAAATGAAAGATGTCCAAGGCTCAGAACAGAACACACACACACACACACACACACACACACACACACACACCAGGGCTGATGCTTATTAGCAATAATTTCTGGTGAGAGACCAGTAGACTGTCTTCATGAGGAAGAAAAGAGATATCTGAAGAGCCCAAGGCTCTTTAATTAAGATCCCAAGATGGAAAGGACACCAGCACAACCAGCACAAAGCAGGTGCCATACCAGGAAACAGAACGGCAAGAATCCTGCCCAGAAGGTCAGAGCCGATTCCTCCTGTAAGGCCTTCATACTCACTTTGCAGTCTACTGACAATTCTGAGGAAGGACGCTCCTGTAGCCTGTGACATGCTTGGCCACCACGGGTGTGGATCCAGACCATTTACCCAGGACTCTGTAATCTGTCACCACTAGGTGAGATCAGACACAATCTTTAAACCATGACGGTGTAAGAGACAGGAAAGTCTCAAGACAGATGTGTAGTGCTAATAAGAGAGGAGAAATGGTAGACTTCTAAATTCCTTCTTTGCTCCATCTTTACTGTCACAGAATTAATTACATTATGACTGAAAAATCTGAATAAACCCTGACAAGAAGGGAAGGATCCTGAAGGAAAGTTACACCTTTTAGTACTTACTCTATGTGCATATTTCATACTCATGTAGTGAAACAGTAAGCACTCAAAAACACTTACAAACATCATAAATTAAATGTGTTTTCACAAATAAGATACAGACTTGTGTATCTATGTCTAAGCAGGTATCTATGTAACTATGTAGCTAAGCATCTATATAACTACATCTTGTTTCTCTTCCTATCACTGAGGGTTCTTCAAAAGTTCAGTAATGCTGAAGGTTTAGGGAAGATTCACAAATTGAGGGCAAGAATGAAAACTTTCTAGTTAAGGAAAAGGTCCTAGCAGGTGAGGTGTCACATGCTTATAATCTTAGCACTCATGAAGGTGAAGGAAGTAGGAGTTGGAAGTTATTTTGGGTTACATAGCAAGATCCCTTGTTCAGTTGGTATAGTGTTTGCCTAGAATGAGGGAAGTCCCAGGTCCGATCCCCAACACATAAACTGGACATTCTAGCACTACTGTAGGCAGGATGATCATAAGTTCAAGGTTATCCTTAGCTACACAGTGAATTTTAGATCAACCTAGGATACATAAGACCCCACATTAAAAAATTTACTTACTACTCTAAATAATAACTAAAAAAATTAATTGAAAAGAGTTTATATAAACAAAATTTTCTTGTTATTATAAGTTACATACTATATATTATGCCTGATCATACAGATAATTAGGTCCAAACTGAAAAATACAATTGTATCATAACATAGACATATTTAAGTCATTAAAAATTCATTTATGTCTTGACAATTAATGGAAAAGGCAGGCTGTGGGTGGAGCTCAGTGAGAGAGCACTTACCCAGCATGGCCAAAGCTATGAGTTTGATTCTTAGCACTGCCTAAAAGCAGCCAAACAAAAACAATAATAACAAAAAACAAAAGAAAAATAATTTCAAAATATGAATGACTTCATTATAAATATAATGCTATATCGATATTGTGGATATATAATATGATGTTCTGTATATTATTCTTCATGAGAGACTTATACTAGAATATTTATTATATCTAATTTAAAATGTAACCCCTCAGCAGTACTTCTTCAACTGCTAATGTCAAAACAAGATTTAAAAAACATATAAAGATTGCTGAGGAGGCAGAGGCAGGTGGATTTCTGTGAGTTACAGCCTGGTCTACACACAGAGAGTTCCAGACCAGTCATGGCTGCATAATGAGATCTTATCTTAAAACTAAATAAAAAAATACAAAACCTGCTATGAGATACAAACCTATAAATTTCAATATTCTTGCTTTTTTGTCTAGAGAGCCTGGAGGCAGTTGCTTCTCCAGCCACAATTATAGTATTGTTTTCCATGACTACCCCAGTGCATACTGTTCCTAAACCCTCCCCATACTTAGGGGATGAAATAAAATAGGTTTTCCGTGACATGGGGTCATAACAGAAGCTGGCATCCCCATAGTTCCTGTGCCGTGATCTGATTCCAGAAGAATTGTTCCCAATGCAAAGCAGCAGGCTGGTGGTCTCCATGCCATAGCGAAGATTAGGGGAGTGCTGCTGGGGCATCTTGATGGCTTTGAATGCATTCTGGATCATGTCGATGCAACTACTATCACAAAGGAGCATCGTGTTCCTTCTTAGGGCCTGTCTTAGAAAAGAAGCATTTATAAGTTCCAGTCTGACTTGCTTCAAAAGTTCAACAAGATGCTCTGTACGCAATGCTTGGTTATGATTTACCCATCTCAGAACCAAGTCCAGAATGCTCTCTTCTCTGGATATATTCAAATCATCAGACTTAATAAGTGCCAGAAGCTGGTGAGCTTCGATGTCTAGTATTTCTCCATGTAGGCTTACCTCAGCAAAGTGCTGATATAAATACTTCTTTGACTGATCAGATAAATCTTCTGCTCCTATTTGCTTTGCAAAATAATAGATTCCTATGCAGTTGGAGGCATCCATGTGGTCCATCATATATTTTTGGCACACATTAAAGACTTCTTCCATCTGCATAAAATAGGCAGCCATTGCTACGGTCTGTACGTTGGCATTGTTGATGTCCAGAACTGCACTGTACATGTAGGTTAGTATCACTGACACACTTTCTGCTGTGATGTCATAGAGTACGACCTCCCTCTGAGTGCACTCGAGTAGTCCACAGGTGAACATAGCCTTGAAGTAAGGACTAAATGCAGCGAGGACCAGTCTGTGGCAAGGAAATTTCTCCTCTTCTGCTATGAGCACCACATCAATCATTTCTTCTAATTCTTTCATATTCTTAATTTTATCTAGTAAATTCAAGCTATGCTGGTGCTTCTCCTTTCCCTCAGTCTGGTACTCCATGATATACTCCTTGAAGTTTGTAAGTAATGTTTCTTTCAGTTTAGCTTGATTCCTCAGGGGCTATTTGCATTTCTGATTACTCACAAATCAACAGAGATGCCATGAAACTGTCCTGAGGGTAAAAAAAAAAAAAGCAGGTTTTGTCTAAGAAAAAACTTTCTTTATACTTAATGCATAGCATTAATACTAAGAAGCATTTATAAATAAATATCATACATTCAGAGCAGAGCAATTTAAGACAACTACTTCATGTCTAAAAAGACTTTGAAGTGTAAATCATCAATTATTAACTGCTACTGCAAAGCTGCTAATCATCAGCTGGATTTTCTTCTAGGGCTGGAGAATCTCAGAGTGAAGGGAGAAAGTAAAAAGATAAGCAAATTTTGCGATTCCATTTCTGGTTATCAAATGGGTCACCCTGTGGGCTGAGGCTACAGAAGGATCTGTTAATATCATTTCTAAAGTGTTACACTCAACCCCTCCACAACACACAACCAATGTGTAATGACTAGTCCATAAGACGAGGACTAGGGTACATAGACCCAGAAAGTGGAATGACTTGAAATTAGGTCCATACTCTGATTAAACTTTTGGATGGGAAAATTTATTCAGACTGGTAGGTAATGAAAATTTCATTCTTACTGAGTTTTAAAATACAAGCCAATGGCTGCTGGTCTCTGAATTCCTGGTATTTAAAACTTAAATGTGTCTTCCTTCATTGCCCAGCTTTTCTTTGTTCCCTGTTTCACAGTGGCACAGACTGAATTGCTTCTTGCCTTTAAAAGCCCTAGTCTAATTAAAAGTCTCTAAGCTGGTGGTGTCACCTTCGCCTTCCCCAGGCGATGCAAACATGAGGTTTCAAGGAAGTTAATTAGCTGCTTTGATTTAAAGAAAGCCATTCTCAGAGCCAGGAGCTCTTGTGAGGAGAGGTTCCTAGTCTCTATATCTTTTTCTAGTCTCGCTTGACTACAAAGCTACAGGCAGTGACAATGAATAGTGATGGCAGCAGAGTTGATGCTTAAGAAAGAAACATGAGGTTATAAGAACAGGAATACTTTTCAAATAGAAAGGGTAGTGAGTCCCCAAATTTCTATAGTCCTGTAAAGAATTAGACATTTCATGGAAGATTGCCTTTTTCTTACTTTCTGAGTGTTGATTTAAAATTCACTTCAATAAGCAAGTGATTTATACATAGTAAGGAGTTATAAGACCCAACAGGCACTGCAAGAGCCTGTGACATAACAACCATCCGAGCTAAGCACTAAGACTGCCAGAGAAGTCTACCTGCTGGACATTCTGGCATTGCTTTTCTGGTTTACTTTCATAAAGCTTAAAGCTTACTTGGAGATGGTTTTCTGGTTAAAAGCAAACCCCAGATTTATTTCTTTTTATACAATTATGGGCAATTAAGAGACTGTTACATATCTGAATCCTCTTCTACACACATCATCACATCACTTTATACATAAACACGATAGTTGGAGCTAAAAAGAACCTAAGCTATTTTACTGCTGTTCGGATCTCAGAATTGAACCTGGAGTGTCACACGTGCTAGGCAAGCTTCTTACCATGGACAGAACAGAAACCTTCTTTTAAAGAAGTACCTTCTCTTCTGTTTTTGGTTTTTGAGGCAGCATTTTCCTGAGAAGCCCTGGATGTACTGGAACTTGATCTGCAGGCTGGCCTTCAGCTGAGATTTGCCTGCCTCTGGAGTGCTGGGATCAAAGGCGTGTGCCACCACCACCTTGCTAAGGAAGTATTTTTTTTTTATTTTTACAAACCTAGTATTTTATTTGTATTCATGTATAAGAAGCCATCAAAACATACCAGTGCTCATGATGTCAGAAGGCCAAGTGCATCTCCCAAACAAGGTGCCCTTGATCTAACACACCATAGGCAGTTTGGTCAGTTCCTAGAATGCTGATCTTGATAATATTAGAAAACTGATGCTTGAGACCCAACGATTATGATTATAATCCTATGATTTCACATATGTAGGATAGGAGCCAAACTCTACCTGATGGACTTTTTGGTGCTACATTTTGGCTATTGAGATTAAAAAAATGAAGTTCAAGTTAAGTAAGTAATGGGTCTATGTTTGTTCATAAATATAATATAGGTGGCATTTAAAATATTTTTTATTATTTTGATTTTATGTGTATAGATGTTTTGTTTGCATGTATAATTGTGCACCATGTAAATCTGGTACCTACAGAGGCCAGGCAAAAGTTGTCTGATCTCCTGGAACTGGAGTTACGGACAGTTGTAAGTCACCATACTGAATCAAACCTAGGTCCTCTAGAAGAGCAGTCCTCTACTGAGCCAGCTCTCCTGGCTCATAGATTTTATGGTGGATGATGTTGGGCTTCCCTTAGTATCCGACCCACCTTCCTAGAAAAAGATAGGCCCCTACATCCCTTACTAGTATTACTGGTACAAGGACAGGCATGACACCCAAAGGTGGCTATAGCAATGAGCTTTGAGTCTTGGCTCCATGGCTGGGAGGCCCATATGTTTGACACAGTTGCAGCCATGTTCCTGGGAGCCAGCAACAGGACAAAGCAAACCCAGGGAAGGAGGCAGAGTATTCAGAGCAATTTGGGTTTGAAAATGCATTATCAACAGTTTACAGTTTGGAGGCAGTTAAAGCTGATTTGAATTAAGAATGATATCATTTGGAATCTAGAACCTTTACTTGTATAAATAGCATTTGAAGAAACATTGAGAAAAGTGGCCCAAGGTAGCTGTAATTATGTACATCAGTGAGTTGTAGTCTTATATTTTCAGATATCATATTGTTGAGGAGAACCATCAGAATCTTGTATTCTTACTCCTCCTTCATAAAAAGCACCAATCACAAGCTGGGCATGGTGGCATACACCTTTAATCCAAGTACTTAGGTAGAGGTAGAGGCAGGAGGATTTCTATGAGTCCAAGACCAGCCTTATCTACATGGTGAGTTTCAGAGAAGTCAAGACTACACGATGATATCTTGTCTCAAGAGGGAAAAAAAACACTAATCATGTAAGTTACTTTTTTTCTATTGGCTTCTTGCAAAATGGCCAAGGCATTATACATGGAAACAGACTGAACTGTGAACCCAATTCCATCTGACCCCTAAGTCTGCTTCCTTACTCCTTTTAGTGCAAGGGCTGGAAACCTAGGGCTAGATGATAAATATGCCAGGCAAGCCATCTGGGCTCTGTCACAACCACTCAACTTTGCTCTTATGGCACAAAAGCAGCCACAGAGGAAAAAAACATAAACAAAGGAACATGACCATGTTCCAGTAAAATGAATTTTGGACGCTGAAATTTGAATTTCACAGATTTAACATGCCCTAATTTCATGTGTCATGAAATAATATTCTTCTTTTGACTTTCAAAAGCTATTTAAAATTATGAAACCTGTTCTTAGCTCACAGACTTTGCAAAAACAAGTGGCAGGTTGCCGACTGCTCCAAAGCTATAAATAAACCCACTCTCAAGACTGTGAGTAGGACACTATCCTGTCTGGGTGACTAATCTCCACTTCTTATCCTAAATTCAGCTCAAGAGTTTTGAGAATTGGTTGTCTGCTTTGAAAATATCAACTATTTGTTCATAACTATATCTATATTATCCATACCTATAGAAACTCTCTTGAACAAATGGTGTATTTGGGTGTGATTCCTCTTTCTCAAACATTAGCTTACACAAATAACAACAACAAAACCCTTCAATTTCCTTTAAAACAGAAACGACAGTTTCAAATATTTTAAAGAATCATTTACTATGTATGTTTTAAATGGACATATACATTTGCTAAGTACCTATTCCTTCTAATTGCTGTTTATAGGCTTCTGAAAGGTATTCTAATTGCTTCGGCTTTACAGATCAAATTAATTTGCTGATTGAAATAAATAAAAAAAAAAGTAGCCTAGCTGTTAAATCAACTACCACACTTCAAAAATTCTCAGCATTGTTTCTTAAGAGACAGAGGTTTTGGTATGGCAGACAGAAGTTAAGCTAGTTGCTTGCTGTCGTCTTAAAATGATTTAACTTTTCCTAAATCTTGGTTTCTTCATCCGAATAATGAGGATAAAGCATATAAACAAAGCCATTTTTCCAGTCTTTAGCCCCCAAATGGACAATAGGTAGATTTTTATCATCAGAGTGACTCAGCAAACTCAGTACAGCTCCACAGTTAGGGACTGAACTTGGGCTTGGTTATTGAGGCCTTGGTCTGAGTCCTCGTCTGCCATATCCCAGTATTATGAACATGTTTCATAGCTCTTTAAATTCTAGTTTCTTCACCTGGGATTTCTTTTGAGAATTATGTAAGATTAGTTGGAAGAAACAAATAAGGTTATACATGTAATTATCTTTGTAAAATCTACCTGGTAAAGTGAAGGCAGGGCATACCTGGACAAACATTTTTCAAACAAAAATAATTCGTGAGTGCATACACGAATCCCTTGTGGATACAGCTACAGCCCATAATGGAGAGAGCTGACAGCAACTTTTCTCACAATGAGGGCAGAGAGTGTGTTCTCCTTTCATCAGCAGAACAAAACTGTGTGACTGTTCTCAGTGATGTCAATGGGGAGTTATTCTCCGCTCCAATTTACAGCAGGCTGAACTGATGCATTCGTAATAATAGCACCCATAATAATGGAGAAAGATGAGTAGCAAAGATAAATATAAATCACAAGAATAAAGCCTAATTACTCTGCAAATCCAAAATGCAGCTACACTCTAGTCCATTATATTTAGTTTAGGGAAATGCACTGCTATAAATTAAATGGGGGGCGGAAATGTCAATTTCTTTACATCATAAATGTTTTGCTTTCAGAGACCTTGAATCGGGGGTCTCGAATCAGACCAATGATTCTTTGCAATGAACGCGGGCATGAAAAAATGTGTGGACACGGGTTTACTGTGACTCACTGTGTCGCACTGCAGCTTCCATGATGAGCTCCTCCCTTTTTTCTCTTAAATTTTATTTTGTTTTATTTTGGGGGGGGAGGGAGATAGGTGGGAATCAGGAGGCATGATGTGAAAGATACAAAGAATCAATTACAAAAGTTAAATGTTTCCTTTCACAATGTTTGATTTTATCATCTTTCTCTACCTTTACAGTCGCCACCTTTTCTGAATGATTGATAATGACCAAGCTTTTCTTTCTAAGAAAATTCCCCATCTTTAGTAGAAGGTAAAGTAATTAAAATTCATACCAGCACTGTTTGAAATAGCAAAAACCAACTTAATATCCATTAGCAGACTATAATATATTCACTCAAAAGAATAATGTACAGCAGAAAAATTAATAAACATGATCTTCATGTATCAAAAACATGGTTATGAAAAAGACTAGAATACATGCTGCATACTATTAATGTGTTTAAAATATACAATACGAGCTGGGCGGTGGTGGCGCACGCCTTTAATTCCAGCACTCGGGAGGCAGAGGCAGGCGGATCTCTGTGAGTTCGAGGCCAGCCTGGTCTACAAGAGCTAGTTCCAGGCCAGGAACCAAAAAGTTACGGAGAAACCCTGTCTTGAAAAATCAAAAAAAAATATATATACAATACGGTAGGCTATTCTGATATAAAAGTGTAGATCATATATTCTGACAATATAAATAGTTGGTGAATTTGGTAAAGTGTATTAACAGAATTTTTTTTTTTTTGGATTTTCAAGACAGGGTTTCTCTGTAGCTTTTGGTTCCTGTCCTGGAACTAGCTCTTGTATTTTAATATTATTCTTGGATTTTTTCATAAATTTGAAAACACCCAAATAAAAAGGTTAAATGTCATGTATTTTGAAGGACCTGTACAGCAGTACCAGAACATAAAGAAATGAAGGCAGTTATACGCGCTGACTTCAGGAGAGTGGTTGCCTTCATGGGGTATGGAAGAAAGGGAGACAAACAGGACAGAATGACAAGGAGTTTCAATTGTATAAATGTTTAATTTCCTTAGCTGTATGGTGAGGACTCAATCCACACTTCATTGTTCTTTAAGCCCTTTTTTATATATTGAAAACTTCATGAAATGTGTTTAAAAGACTGTATTAATATTAATCACTTATGGCTTCTGAAAACCTTAGCTGTGTTGAAAATGATGTCTGTACATTATCTGATATGTCATATGCAGAGAAATAATAGATACATTATGAATTTTCATATATTGTAAATTTACATATCAAAGTGTAGGCAGCCCAACTTATGAGCGATGGGAAAATACAGAAACCTCCTATCTGGTCTGAATGACAACAGCTTTGAAATCTTGTGGCTATCCCTCACTTCTATGTTAATTTCTTTAGCATTGACCTGTGTGATGGGAGAAATTACTAGATTCAGAATTGTTATGTGTTTATTGGAACAGGGAATAGGTTACAGACATGATAGAAATGACCAACAACAAAGCTTTGCTTTTCTGTTTACTTAAAAAAAAACAACAACAAAAAACAACTGAAGAGCAGAAAAGTGACTAGGACAGGCTCCAAAATCTAATTTTCTCAAAACTGCCTTCAATAGATTTGAGTTAACAAACCAAGAAATGTCAACATTATGGCAGAAAATAATGTCCCAGTTTCAATGTTTAAAACAAAATCCTTTATTAAGAAGGCCTTTTAAAAGTCAGTGGCGACCATGAAGAAAAATCATTTCACACTTAAAAAAAATTATCAAGGGCCAATTTTCACCACCACTCATTCAGGTATTGCGGGTTCCCTGTAAACTGGCTCCTCCCACCACTGCCGGCCTCACTTCCTGACTTTCCTTCCTTGTAGATATTTTATAGTGTTAAAGTGCTAGCAATTCTAATTCATAATGCAATTCTCGGTGTCTTCCCTTGTCCAGCTCTTCAAAATTCGGCTCAGATACCACTTTCTTGACGTAAAGGGCTTTGTTTCATTCACTTCTCTATTTTCATTGTGACTCTGGTGACACTTGGCATGTAAGAGTTGCTTGGCATGGTTTGATCAGAGTAACGCTTACTTTAGTACTAGTTCTTTCCTAATAACTGCACTCCCCCCTCCCCTTTGCCTTAGAAATATTTTTTGAGACAGGCTCTTTCTAGGTAGTCTTCCTTGGACTCTAATTCACAGAGATCTTGCCTTCCGGTCTCCTGTGTGCTGGGATTAAAGGCCTGTGCCACCATGCCGGCCCCTACCCTTTCTAGCTTGCATGTACATTTCTATCTTGCATGTCAGTTTGGGTGATTTTTTACTTTGTTTAAACGTTATGCTTTTAAACTTTAAGCTATTATCCTCTTGCCCAACTATAAGATTCACCCGGAAGACTTTCTTCCCTTCCCAGGAAATGCGCTGTATTTTGGCATCAACGTCTCGCCCCGCCCTCAAGATTAACCTATAGCCATCATTGGCTCTCTAAGACAGAGGCCTCATTTGGGGAACAAGCAGCAGAGCTTTCTTCAGCTTCAAGAAACAAACCTGAAACATTCCTACATCTCTAGGGAAAAAGCTAGATACGACAGCAACGGGCCCTTGATTCCCATGTGACCTGAAAAGCCAACTGCAGCTCCTCAGACGGCAAATCTGCTCACCTTTACTCAGTGTCAGCCATTCTTTATCGTATGTTGCTTTGCTCTACTCTCTCCTTGTAGACTATTTATTTTGCAGCCATCTAAGTTCGCGACCCCTGGTTTACAGCGTCACACGCCCTTGCTGGATTTGTTTCTGCCATCACCACCTTTCCCCAATCCTACATCTACCAATGTGGTGGTCGGAGATGACTCTCAATGTACATACCACCTAAGTGCTGTGGTTTCCCTGATTTGTTTAATACTAATAATTCTCCCCCAAACATATACAAGGCATGTAATGACGAGTCACAGAGATGATAAAGACAAACACGCTTTCTTTTCTCTTTCCTTTGGTGAGCTCGCAGTGGTTTTGCATTCGCAGTTCTTTCTACTTTCCCAAGTGCTTTAATATGCATTATAGCTCATTAGTTCCTCTTAAGAATCATGTGGGGAAAATGCAGGGCAATTATATTCCTGGCTTTAAAGTTAAGAGAGTTGCCCAGGGATACATTCAGCGCTGATTGAATTTAAACGAACCGAACCCTGCATTATTAAGGAGCTCTAGGAAGGCAGGCGAGCCCTTACCTCGATGACGTTTAGCGTCTAGCTGGGACAGAACGGGTCATGGGGGTGGGGTGGGGGACAGCATCATCACGGAGAGCACGCAAAAGAATCACGCCACAGGGGGACCCAGCGGCCGCTGACCCTCGCCGGCCGACCCGAGGGCGCGTCCCCTCTGGGCCCCTACTTACTTGCTGCCGCCCGGCCCCGCTCGCTCCGCTGCGATGGCGCCGTGACTGGGCACGCCGCGGGGTCGAGGGCACGGCCGGGCGGGCCTGACTGACCAGACTGCCCGAAATGGACCAGTGCGGACAAGAACTATAAATAGACAGGGCGAGGGGGGTGCGGGGGGGGGACAGGCGGCGTCCCAGCGAGGACAAGGACGTCGCTGGCGGCCACCCCGAGGTAACAGGTGCTCTGTCTCTGCGCGGGAAGCGTCTCGGCCAGGCGCCGCAGTATGCGCTTGCGCGGGGGTCTTCCCGCGCCGATTCCACACACACTCCACTGCAGACCCCGACTCAGCAAGTGCTCTGCGCTTGCGCGGGGGTCTTCCCGCGCCGATTCCGCACCACAGCCTGTCCATGAGCTCAATGCCAGGCCAGAGCCTCCCCGCGGCACACCCTGTGCTAGGGACGAGGTGTGTCAGGAGCTTAAAAAGACACCTTCTAAAAGAGAATTTGGAAGTTGGATCTTCGAAGGTGACAAATCTTTCACTTAGTCTTTAAACGTTGCAAAACACAAGCGCTCATTGTGTGACCTCATTGAGAACGGTCTATGGTAGGGTTGCCAAATAAAACGCAGGAACCAGCTAATTATAAAACTCAGACATACAACCTCTATTTTTTTGTGTAATTTGTACTAGATATCACATGACCAATTCACCTTTAGAAACAACTCATTGTTTTGATTTGGTTTTCTATATTTTTATTCATGACAGCTGACAATTGGACCTGAGCAATCAGCTCTGATTTTTTTTTGGGGGGGGTGGTCCCAAGGAAAGATTAATTCTGTTCTCAGTTGAGGGGAAACTTACCCCTGAGAAGTGTTCTCAGAGTCTTTACTTTGTGGGTAAAGAAATAGTATTAAGTCAGCTAGTTTAAAATAAAACAAAATGGCTTCAGTATAGTATACTACCTTACATTTAATGTTTCACTGCTCTGGGGATCAGAATTAGAAAATGTCTTCCCAATGGGTTAAAATGAAAGTGTCAGTGGGCACATGTTTCTAGGAGAGAATCTGTCTCCTGGCTGTTTCACCGTTTCTAGAAACTTTGACTCTTTTGTGTGTGATTCCTTCCTCTTAAAGGTCAGGACCAAGCTGGGGGTGATTGGTCATTCCTATAGTTCCAGCACCCAAGAGGTGATGGCAGGAGGTCAGAAGTTCAAGGGGCTTTTGGCTTCATAGTTCAAGGTTTGCTTGTCGTATTTGAGACACTATAGCATCCCCCCAAGCCGGGGTGGTCATAGAGATGATCACTCTGGTGCACACTCTTCTTTTTCCTTAAAAAAAAAAATCCTTGTGGTAAAATTTGTATATCATAAAATTTACCATTTATTTGTTTTAAGTGTTCAATCTAGCGTCCTGTTAGCAATTCTCTGTAACTACTACAGTTTGGATGCTGAGTATCTCCCAGAAGCATGTTGAAGATGTGAGCCCCAGGGTGATGCTGTTGGGAGGCGCTATGACCTGGTAAGTCCTTAGATCACTGGAGGGTGTGTCTGATGGAGTCAACAGGACCTCACTTGGTCTTTTGAGCTCCGGTATGAATCAAGCTGTTTGCTCTGCTGCTCCCCACCATTACCATCCAGTTCACCTACCAGAGGTCCAAAACAATGGACTCAACAACCTCTCCCACTTGAAATAAAATAATCGTTTATAAACTAATCATCTCTGATAGTTCATTATAGTAACTGGAAGCTGAGCAACACAACTGCCACCACCATTTCCATGTCCACATTTTAAAACTCACGCCAAACAAAGTACTCATTAGAAAGTAACTCCCTATTCTTCTCTCCTCACAAGTACCAATCATCGCCATTCTAGTTTCTGCCTGTATGAATTAACCTATTATAATACTTTATATGCAGAAGTATATAATATTTGTCCTTTTGTTACTTATATATTGAACTTAACATAATGCCCTCAAGGTTCATTTAATTGTATCATGTATGAAAATTTCCTTGTTTTAAGAATTGATATTACTCTGTGTATTTAATCTTTAAATATTGTATTGGAGATTTTTTTGTCCTTTTTTCTTTGTTGAGGGAAGAACTTACTGTGCAGCTGGGGCTGCCCTCCGGCTCATCATCCTCCTGCCTCAGTCTCCCTTAGAGCATTGTAGCATTGTTCTTGCATGTGTCTCTATCTTCAAGTATATATTTTCAGTTGTTTGAAGAAACTCCTCTCCTTTTCTTACAAACACCCCTTGATGGGCCAGCTCCACTTAGATCCTTCTACAATTATTTCCACTTCTACTTTTAGTTTTCTCTACAGGGTGTCAGAATGAAGCGAAGGGGTCTTTCTTGGCTTGAGTTGAAGCCCTCTTTAATTTCCTTGTTGGCTATTTTATTTCACCTTTTATATTTGTTTCAAGAGGAAGTGGGGTTGTGTGAAAAAAACAGAGCTTGGCGTTCAGAGACCAAATTAGATCCTGCATTTCATCCCTAGGTAACTTTAGTTGATCTCAAAATACTTGTTTGCCAAATGATTAATCAAATGTTAATATTTAGCAAATATACTGATATATCACACAAACACTAAGAGCTCTGAAGCTTAAACTTGGTTCTTGGTTAGCCTCCTGCACTTAGGTCTTTCTTGCTGCATGTGGAGTGTGTGTGTGTGTGTGTGTGTGTGTGTGTGAACATGTGTGAACATGAAGCTTCAGGCTCAGCATCTGTGGATCCTATGGGACAGTAGAGTTTTTAGCAGTTGCAATATTTTCTCCCTTCGTTCCTTCGTGTCTGTCCTTCCTTCCTTCCTTCCTTCCTTCCTTTTTTCTTCCCTCCCTCCCTCCCTCTTTCCCTCCCTCCCTTCCTTACTTCTTTCTCTTTTTGGTCCTTGTCTAAAAGGTACAGATGTTCTTGTCAGTGCCTGGCACACTGTACTCCCATTGCAGAGCCTTGCACTGTGGCAATTTGTAACACTCACTGTATTCCCCCTCAATGCTAGTAAGCTTTCTGTCACCTTAACAAAAACCTGAGAAAATAACTTATAAAGAGAAAAAGGTTCGTTTTGGCTCATAGTTTTATAGATTTCGGTTCATAATCAATTAGAACAATTGCTATAGAGACTGTGGTAGTCTACCCAGGTGGAAATAAATGGGTGCTGTGGTGCTTTGAAAGAGAACAGCTCCCAAAGGGAGTGGCATCATTAGGAGAAGTGGCTTTGTTGGTGTAGGTGTGACCTTGTTGGAAGAAGTGTGTCACTGTGGAAGCAGGCTTTGAGGTCTCATATGCTCAAGTCATGCTCAATGTGACACTCGGTCTACTTCCTGTTGCCTACATATTAACATGTAGCATCTCCTTCTCCAGCACCATGTTTGCCTGCACACCACCATGTTCCATCATAATGAAAATGGACTGAGCTTCTGAACTGTAAGTAAGCTACCCCAATTAAATGTTTTCCTTTTTAAGAGTTGGCATGGTCATGTATCTCTTCACAGCAATAGACACTCTAAGACAGGTGAAATAAGCAATAAAATGACTTGTTTCATAGCCTGGATGTAGAAGAATGACAGGAAGAGACTGAGGTCCTGCAAATTACTTTGAGGACATAACCCTAATGATGTGGAGACCTCATCCTAGGCTAGTGGTTCTCAACCTTCCTAATTCTACAACTCTTTAATACAGTTCCTCACATTGTGGAAACCCCAACCATAAAATTATTTTCATTGCTTTGCTACTGTTTTGAATCGCAATGCAAATACCTGTGTTTCCTGATGGACTTAGCGACCCTTGTGAAAGGGTCATTTGACCCCAAAGGGGCCATAACCCACAGGTGGAAAGTTAATGTTGTAGGCCCTCCCTCTTAAAATTTCTAGCACCTGCTAATTGTACCAAGCTGTGGAGCAAACCTTTAACACATAGGCCTTTGAGGACATTCCAGATCTGAACACACACCAACCCTGAGAGCATTCATAGGCCAGGGCCACTATCCTCTTCACCTCTGCTGGGACACCAGGTGTCCTGAGCTGGCTCTGCTCCTCACTCAGATTCCTACAGTAGAACCGGCAGGTAGTAATGGGTCTATTTTACATAACAAACTGGCAGGAGGATGAAATAGTCCTGCCGGGGGATGTGAAAGTGATTAATAAACTATAAAGTCACGCCAAGTCATTTTCTTGAAAATGGACTTCTGTGCTTTTCCACCATTCTTATTCTTGAGCATGCTTCCCTTTCTTAATAAGCTCTCTATTTCTGCTTCTAACCACATGTCCCTGGCATGACACAAAGAGTCTGGAAACAGTCGTCCTGTGAACTCGGATCTGTGACCCAGCACTGTTAAGTGTGCTTCTCTGACATTTTGGGCTTTCGCACTGTTCTTCTGACCTCCATGCCTAACTTCAAAGGCATGCATTTTTCCATATCTCCTCCTCCTGGCAGTTGCCAAGATTTGCAGCTTGCCTGTCCTTCTATTCGTCTCTCAAACCTTAATAAAATTGTCCTTTATCTTCAGAAAGATCTTGAAAATGCAACAGAAAGCTATCTCCTATTCATAATCTGTTCCATCCTACAGTGAGCTAGATACGAACCATACTTCTTTTGTTGGCTTTCCCGTTTTAGGAATCAATCGCAGAGAAGCTCAGAGAATGGAGTTCTTACCAGTTTACTAAGCCCCACTGGTACATTTTTGTGAACACAGTCTATTCAGTCAGCCTTTCTATCCCGAGGGCATTTGAGGCTACATGCAAGCTAATCACAAAACCTCTGGAAACCAAATTTCCCTTGTTTTGGGCTATTTCATTTTTTCTCAGCCATGAAATCCCCAGATCCCAAGTGTATGTATGAGTACTCAAACTCTGCTTTAGTCTGGTGCCAAGTAGTTCTTAACACACGCACGATGAGTTGCTATTGTTTGCCGTGTTATTAAGCAGCGATCCAGTGATCCTATATGTTGTTTGACCTTACAGATTACTAGAATGAGAACACCCTCAAATACAGAAAGCAAGTTTTTAATACACATTTACCTGGAGAGGAGCTTTTCGTGGCTGCTGGAGTGTCTTTAGGTGTCAGCC